ATGAAACGCGGCGGAAGACTTTGGCGAAAGAACTATTGGCGAAATAGGCGAAGAAGTTACTGAGTAATTGAAGAAGAGTTGAATGAGAATTGATTGATAATGGCAAGTACAAGCAAGGTTTATATAGCATGCAAGAAACAAGGTTGGAAAGTGGAATGTGGGACCAAGAATTGGAGTGCAAGAAAAGTAGAGTGCCACGTGGCACTAGAGAATCTGAGAAGATAAGGATAATGGTGACTAGGAATGTACTGTTCGGAATGAACAGTAAACACCCCTCTAACATGAGTTGTGAAGGAGAGTGCGCAGATTAACGAATAATGTGGTTGTGATTCAACAGCCTCAAGAATACAATGAAGGCACACGCTAATGTAGTGGCTAGCGTAGCTAGGAGGGAACCTCGGGCGAGCGAGGTTGGTTGCAGGTTTGGAGAAGGGAAATGCCGAAGGCGACGCGAGGAGCCTCGGCATCGTTGATGTCGGCCAAACGTGATGAGTCTGAAAATCGGGGCTGTACGCGAAGCAGTCAACCCCGATAAGGAATTCGAGAAAATTCCTTACACTAACCCCCCCTTTAAGAAAGGTGGTCGATATCCGCAGTGCGCTTTCGGGCGAGGTAATCACCAATAAGCGGAGATGCCTCAAGCGAAGCGAATGACACACACGTGTCGTATTCACTTGTGCGGTCAGTCCAACGGATTAGAAAATCCACGTGGCGACCAGCTGCATCCAGCCGTACACGATGCGCCAATATCTTGGATTGGGTCGAGTGTCGAATCTGGCACATGACGTGCTGTTGGTGCGCCCTGTTGTCGCGCAATGTCGGTTGTGGCTGGCATGAACTTGCGAAGGAGGTTGACATGGAAGGCGTCGTGTATATGCCAGTCGTCAGGTAGCAACAGCTTCACGGTGACAGGTGTCACCATCTTGATGATCTTGAAGGGCCCACAGAATCGTGGCCGTAATGTCGATGGGCCGGGCAGGTGCAGGTTCTTCGTGTCGAGTAGCACTAGCTGCCCAAATGCCAAGACGGGTTCAAGTCGTAGAAGGTCGGTGCATTTTCGGGAAGCGATATTCGCCTTGCAAATTGCGTCCGCAGCCTTTTCGCTAACTTCCTAGAATTCTGTCATAAACGTTTGTGACCTCGGGGACAGGTTGTCAAGTGTAGACGTTGTAGGCACCGTCGGGTCCGTCCCGTAATCAAGGAAAAATGGGGAGTGATTAGTCGTGCTGGACGGAGCGTTGTTGAATGCAAACTCCAGCATTGCGAGCGAGTCTTCCCAGCGGGCAGGGTCGGGGCAGTTCGCCCTGATCAGCTGCACCATGGACTAACTGGTCCGCTCGGTCTGCCCGTATGTTTGCGGGTGGTATGCCGAGGAGAAATGTAGCTTCGTGCCGTACTGCGGCCACATTTCCCTCCAAATTTTCGACGTGAACTTCGGATCCAGGTCGCTGATGATCGCAGAGGGGATTCCGTGCAGTCGCACGACCGTTGAGATGAAGAGGCTCGCATTTTCTTCGGCTGTGATTGTTGTACGACACGGTGCGAAGTGCGCCATTTTTGTGAGGCGATCGACGACGACGAGAACAACGTCGTTTTCGGACAGTCCAGCTCGCATTGTCAAACGATATATATGTTAGTTCTGTGTAGGCTATAGTAGGGAAGCCAATATGGGGTACGACCCAATGTTAGGGTGTGAAATTGAACGAGAATGAAAAATGACTAAGGGAAAGTTGGGTACAAGTACAAACCCTAGAAAGCTGTACCCCATATGTGCTACCCCACTATAGCTTACAGCAGCTAAGTCATGTAAATCTGACACACCCCCATAGGCAAAGTGGGGGAGAACAAGGGGTCACAAGACCAGTCAAGCAAAGCAAAGCAAGCTCAGGGTGGATCACAACGTCACCACACATTCCGAGCACAAGTTCAAGGCCACAAGGTCAGTTCACATGCAGGGTTACATATATATATATAAGGCTAAACAAACCAGAGCATGTGTATATATACATGTATAAGTACAAACAAGGTCAAGGGGTGAGCAAGTGAGGCAAGGTAGGCACAAGACCCAGCTGAGTACAGAAGCGCTAAAGATCACAAGGCACAAGTGCCTTGGTGATGATATCAGTAGTGTTGGCCTTAGAGGCCACGTACGCAAGGCGCAGCTGACCACGCTGCTGTAGCTCACGAGCAAGGAAGTAGCGAAGAGCAATGTGCTTCGTTCTGTGCTCCAGTCTCTGCTCCCGACACAAGGCCAGCATGGCCTTGTTGTCTACGTATAGCACTGGAGGAGAACGAGGCGGCTCTCCGAAGTCAGTCAGCAGGTAACTGAGCCAGCAAAGCTCCTGTGCAGCCATGGCCCCTGCGTAGATCTCAGCCTTACAACTGGAGCCGAGAACAGAAGACGAGCGGGTAGCCCGCCACGAAACAGAGCCGGAACCAAGGCTGAAGGCGTAACCCTGTGACGACCGCTGCGTAGCGTGGTAGTCAGCCCAAGAAGCGTCTGCGTGCCCAATGAGGACCACTGGACTCTGCCCTCCAAGCACAAGCCCCATGCTCGACGTACTGCACAAGTAGCGCAACACCCTCTTCGCTGCAGCCATGTGCTCCGGTCTGTGTCTCCCAGGAGCAACATAGCGTGCGAGAATGCTAAGAGGGTATGCAAGGTCAGGTCGTGTGCAGGTCATCAGGTACATGAGGCACTCAACAAGCTTTGGGTACGGGCCACTCGACTCTACGGACTCATCCAAAGGCAGAGCTGAGAGCGAGTGGCGAGTAGGCAGAGGAGTGGCGTGAGGCGAGGAGTACATGAAGCCGAAGCGCTGAAGGACCTGCTGCACCATGTGTGACTGAGTCAGGGTAATGGTGCGGCGTGCTCTGTCCCGGGTGATCTGCAAGCCAAGGTAGCTGCGCAGTTCACCCAGGTCTGTGCACGTGTGTCTCTTCTGCAGCTCGGACTTCACGTAGGCGAGTCCAGCAGTGTCAGCAGTGGCGAAGACCAAGTCGTCGACGTACACGAGGATGTAGAACGGCGGCAAAGAAGTGTCGGTGCGCAGAAAGAGCGACGGGTCGGCAGTAGAGGGAGCAAAACCAAGAGCCGCAAGTGTAGTCCTCAGTGTCTCGTGCCACTCACGCGGTGTCTGGCGGAGACCGTAGACTGGCCGCCGGAGGCTCCACTGGGTGCGAGGAGGAAAAGTCCCAGTGAAGCCAAGTGGGCGGTGCAGCCAGATCTCCTCGTGCAGACTGCCTTGCAAGAAAGCAGTGTTGAAGTCAAGAGAGTGTAGCTTGTAGTCACGGTGAGCAGCTATGTGCAGCAGTACCCAAAGAGTGGTCATCTTTGGGGTGGGAGAGAAGGTCTGAAAGTAGTCAACTCCCTGCCGCTGACTGAAGCCACGAGCCACGTAACGTGCCTTGAAGACAGGCAGAGAATCCGGCGGCCGCTTCACCCTGAAAATCCACATGCCACTGACGATGTTCGCCCCAGGCAGGGGAACCTCGTCAACGTAGGTGCCTGTAGACTTCCAGGAAGCCATCTCTGCGTCCATAGCTGCCTTCCACTGAGAGGAGTAGGGACCCTCTATCGCCTCCGTGTAAGAGCACGGAGTCGGAAGTCAAGTGCATCCGGGTCTCCCTTAGGGTTAAGCAGCACGGACACGAGATGAGGTGAAGCAGCCACCAAACACGGGAACTCCTCCTGCCTGTCCTCAAGGACGTCCGTGCCAAGGGCACACTCACCCCCGACGGACGGAGGACAGATAGACTCAGACGCAGCAACAAGACTAGCAGCGTAGTCAAGACGACAGCGAGCAGCAAAGTCGACGAGCTCAGCAACTAGGGCAGACGCAGAAGTGGACTCAAAGGAAGGGTCAGTGATAACAGTAGCAAGGAGACGCGTGACAGTCGGACTTGCAGCACGAAGAGAGTACGACTCCGGGTCAGCAAGAGCAGGAAGAGAGGACTCAGGAGAAGAAGGCAAAGGGGCACGCAGAGGAGCAGTGGACGGACGCAGAGACATCCGGTGCGTGCTGGGCATAGGGGGAGGACGCGGACGCGAACCACGACCACTAGTGCGATGCAGGACGAGACGCAGTCGCACGACACTCAGCAAGACCTCCAGTAAGAACAGTGTAGGGAGAAGGAGCAGGCAGTGGGGAGGCCGGCTGTAACTGTGACTGTGACGGGACAGGCTGTGGACACTCTAAGGGAGGAGGAGGGCCGGTAGAAGGCGGGAGACCAAGAACTTCCTCAAGGAGCGGAACGAAGTATGGCCGAGGCCGCGCAGCGACTCCAGACACAGTAGGGAAAGCACCAGTACCCCCAGCAGGTAGCAGCAGCGCCATCAACACCTCCAGCTCCAGTACCCCCAGCAGCTCCAGTAGCTCCAGGACCTCCAGCAGAACCAGTAGCACCCCCAGCAGGACCGCCTCCAGTACCACCAGCAGTACCCTCAGCGACAACACCCTTAGCAGCTCCAGCTCCAGTCGGACCACGAGAAGACGCAGTGGCTCCAGCTCCAGTAGTACCCGCAGGCTCAGCAGCTCCAGTACTCCCAGTACGAGCACCTCCGGGACCCGTGGCACCAGCACCCTCAACAGTCGAAGAACCTCCAGCTTCAGCAGCACGCCTCCAGCGCCGGGCAAACCACTCACGCACCTCCTGTGGAGAGAGTGGCTCTCGTGGAGAAGGAGCACCCGGACAACCTCCAGGCCCAGTACCGCTAGATGCCACACGAGCAGGCCCAGCTCCCACAGGCTCCGCACCCCCAGGCTCAGCACCTCCAGGCGTAGCACCCCCTACCTCAGCACCCCCAGGCGTAGCACCCCTAGGCCCAGCACCCCCAGTCTCAGCACCCCCAGGCTCAGCATCCCCAGTCATAGCACCCTCAGGCTCAGCACCCCCAGGCTCAGCACCCCCAGAGTTAGCACCCCAAGGCTCAGCACCCCCAGGCTCAGCACCCCCAGAAGCACCAGAGTCACCAGCGACCTCCACAGGCTCGACTGCATCTACCTGGGACACACCTGAAGGGGCAGGACCCTGAGGGGGAAGGGGGTCTACCGGGGGGGGACCTGGCACAAGGAAGAGCGGTGGCGGGGGGAGGGACGGAGTGCGGTAGGGGAAGAGGCGGTAGTAGGGGACCGACTCGTCAAACATGACGTCCTGGGAGGACAGAACACGGCGAGAGGTGGGGTGGTAGAACTGCCACCCTGGCGCGTCAGGGGGGAAGCCAAGGAAGATGCAGGGAGCAGCACGAGGGGACAGCTTGTCCGCAGACAAGCCGCGGACAAATGCCCGAGATCCCCAGACACGGAACGCAGACGCATCGCGAACCTTCCCCGTCCACAGCAAAGCTGGGGAGGTCTTCGGCATGGAGTCCCTGGGCTGAAGGTTGATCTGATGCGCCGCGTACCGAACCGCAAACGGCCACAAAAAATGGGGGGCAGCCGCATGCATCATGGACGTACGGGCAACGTCCATGACCATGCCAATGCGGCGCTCAGCAATCCCATTTTGCTGTGGAGAATACGGAAGCGTGAAGGTCTGGAGGATGCCTCGTGCACGACAGTAGGCTCATAGAAGGCCAGAGGAGAACTCTCCGTCTCTGTCAGAGTGCAGACACATCCTGAGCTGGAGACGAGCTGCGCGGATCTACTCGATCAACATCTCAGTGACATCACCCTTGCTGCGCAAGGGGAATACTGTGGTGTAATGCGAGTAGTCGTCAACCACCAGGAAGTAGCGCTCGTGACCCTGTCCACGGACGCAGGCTGAGCCCCACACATCCATGTGAAGCGTCTGCAGCGGGGCCTCTGTTGGAGGAAACTGGGAGGAGTGAGGGGCAGCACGCTGCCGCCCCTCGACACAGGGGACGCAGGGAGGGGCAGGCCCTGGAGGAAGGGCAGGGAGGGACACGGGAGGACAGTGGAGAAGTGAGCAAGGACAGGACCCCTAGAGGGGTCTGCCAGAGAGACTGCAACTGGCCGACCAAGCGGCGCGAGTGTGGTGCGGTCTCGAAAGAAGGAGCGAGAAGCCCCCGAGTCAAGGTTGAAGATGTGGGAGGCCGGAGCCGACGCGGTACTTGAGAGAGCAGACTCACCAGCACTTGAGGAAGCAGACGCACTTGCACCTAGAGCAGCAGCCTCGCTAGCACCTAGAGCAGCAGCCTCACCAGTACCTGGAGCAGCAGTCCCAATGCCCGGGTCGGGCGGAAAACACCGGTAACAGTCACCCTCATCACTAATAGTTACAGCATACATGGCAGCAAAAATAGCATCAAAGTCAAGGTCAAAGATAGCTACCCCCGCCCTAGACAGCTCGCCCCAGCGAGGGATCTCAGTGGCCTCAGGGAACTGGTGACGCCAAGCGTCCGTAAGGCGGCCAAAGCAGCGCTGGGTGGAGTGCGCACCCCCGCAGGGCTCACCCGCGCGGTCGCCGCCTCCTCCACCGCCGCCACCTCCGCCACCTCCGCTCCCACCGCCACCACCGCCGCCGCCTCCGCCTCCACTGCCGCCACCGACGCCCCCACCCCAGCCACCACCCCCACCGCCACCCCCACCCCCTCCGCCGCCTCCACCGCCGCCTCCACCGCCCCCGCAAGCTCCTCCAGCGCCCCTGCCCCCCTTGCCCTTGCCAGTGCGGCGTCTCCCGCTAGGGGCAGACGCCGCACCGACCGACTAAAGACCAACGAGGTCGGCCGCAGCAGCAGAGGCAATAGAGGGCAAGAGAGGAGAGGGGGAGCACCCCTCAAAGACAGGGGCACTAGGGTCACCACAAGAGGCTCCTACAGCGACTATGCTCTTCTCTGCTGCTAGGAGGCGCTCCTTGAGGAGGTCAACGGTGAGGGTGGTGGGGCAAACAAAGAGAAAGTGGTCCGTGACCGGGTGAAGGGTGTCAGGGAGCCGGGTGACTATGTAGTAGAGGGTGATGTACATAGGGGGTGGGTTCTTGGCGCTGAACTCAGCGGGAAGGGCAGCGCGGTAACGAATGTCACTAGTGCGAAGGTGCGTAATGAGGTCAGCGACTGTGGGAAAAGCTGTGAGGTCAGGGAAGAGGTACGGCAGGATGAGGCGGCTAAGTGCAGCAGTGGCAGGGGAAGAGTAGCGTGCAACTACAGCGTCGTACAAGGTTTTAGCACTCTTGTACTGACTAAAGTGTGCACGCTCGGAGGTAGGCAAGTGGCGACGCACAGCAAGACGTGCAGCAGCATCGCGTGTGGCCCACTGTGAGCGAACAGTGGCGTCAGCATCAGCAGCAGGGGCAGGCGAGGCACCAGAATTGAGGTCAAAGAGGGAGAGACTGTCTGCCCTATCGCACAGTAGGAAAAGCTGCAGGTCATCTACCCAGACGTCAAAGTCGATGGCCCGACCCTTAGCGTCAAAACCGAGGACACTGGGGGTAGCCATGACAGCAGTAGACTAGCAGCACGAGAAGTAGGCTAAGGGCAGCGTAGTGGTAGAGGTGCCGCTCTTACCGGACAGGGCGGCTCGGGCGGCTCGGCGGCTCGGCAGCAACTGCAGCTCGGCGGCTCGGGCGGCTCGGGTGGCTCGGCAGCAGTGGCGGCTCGGCGGCTCGGGCGGCTCGGGTGGTTCGGGCGGCTCGGCAGCAGCGGCGGCTTGGCAGCACAGCGGCAACGGTGGCTCAGCGGCGCCGGCGGCTCGGTGGTGACGGCGGGGCCGCGTAGGGTGGCAGGGCCGCTGAAGGGACGGCGGGGCCGGGTGGGGCGGCGACGAGGCCGCTGAGGCTGGCGGCGGGGCCACAAAGGGTGGCGACCGGTGCCTTAAGGGTGGGGCCGCGGGGTCGCAAGGTTGGGGCGACGGGGCTAGAAGAGGCGGCGCCGGGGCCAGAAGAGCGGCGCCGGGGCCACAAGGGTGGGCAATGGGGCCGCGATGGCGGCGTGGAGGGGTCGCTAGAGCAGCTCGAAGAGGCCGCGAGGGCGGCGCGAAAGGGCCGCAAGGGCGGCGCGACGCGACAGGGCCGCGAGGGCGGCGGAACGGGGCCACGTGGGCGGCGCGATGAGGCCGCGAGGGCGGCGCGATGTAATGGGGCCGCGGGGGCGGCGCGACGGGGTCGCAAGGGCGACTCGACGGGGCCGCTAGGGAGGCGCGAAGCGACGGGGCCGCTAAGGTGGCGCGACGGGGTCGTAAGGGCAGTGCGACGGGGTCGTGAGAGGGGAGCACGACTTGGGCAGAGGCTGAGCGCGCTTCAGGCAGGAAAAAAAAATCGGTGGGCCCTAGGAACAGTTCCCACAGGGGAACCTGCTCTATACCATGTGAAATTGAACGAGAATGAAAAATGACTAAGGGAAAGTTGGGTACAAGTACAAACCTTAGAAAGCTGTACCCCATATGTGCTACCCCACTATAGCCTACAGTAGCTAAGTCATATAAATCTGACATAGGGTTAGTACTGGTACCCACAATCTCATCAATGTAGTCATTCTAGCTTCTCATTCTGACATGGTTTCGAAGCAGTAGGTCCGTAGGACCGTTTTTTTTTTTCTTTTTCTTTTTTCTTTTTCGGGTCCACCATTCCGTCTGCGGTTATCGTTTTACCCCACTGCCCTACCCCGCGTCGCGCTACCCCGCGCACGCCACCTGCTGGCCGTGCGCCGCTGCTGCAGCGCGCGTTTTCTTTAGCGCGTTGCCCCATCTGTGCCCCGCGCGCCTCCTGTAGCCTCGCGCGCTGCCTGCCCCTGCCGCGGCTGCCTACTACACGCCGCGCGCCACCTATCGCGCTGCCCCGCAGCCCCGTATGCCGCGCGCCCTGCTGCCGCGACCGCCCGCTACGCCCAGCGCGCTGCGCCCTTTGCTGCCCCGCCGGCCGCCTACTGCCTCGCGCGCCGCCTGCCTGCGCTGCCCTGCGCTCTTCCCGCCCTGCCAGCGCTGCAGCCACTGCTACGCTACTGCAGCTGCCAGCGCCGCACTGCCCTGCCGCGCCCGAGCCACGCTGCACCGCCCGAGCCGCGCTGCACCGCCCGAGCCGCGCTGCACCGCCCGAGCCGCGCTGCACCGCCCGAGCCGCGCTGCACCGCCCAAGCCGCACCGCACTGCCCGAGCCGCGCCGCCCTGGTGAGCTGCACTGCGCTGCTTAGTTGCCTGGCAGACCCGTTTCTACTGCTGCACTGCTTCTTCTACTGCTAATGCTGCTGCTACTGCTGCTTGCCTGCAATCGCTCTGCCCTGCCATTCCCAAGCGAGCAGCTATGGCCACCCTCCGCGTTCTGTCGTTCGATATTGAGGGCCGCCCGATTCAGTTTGAGACCTGGTTCGATGACCTGCAGCTGTTCCTAATGAGCGATAGCAAGGATAATGTCTCTGTCTTTGACCACACGTCTGGTGCCTCAGTCGCTCCTACTACCACAGCTGAGCTTAGTGCCCGTTCCCAGTGGCAGACTCGTGATGCTGCAGCTCGCCTAACCGTTTGCAACCACCCGCCGTTAGCCGAACTCACGCAATTTGGCAAGCACAAAACCGCCAAGGCCCTGTACTTGTCCCCTGCCACTGCTGCACTCGCCCCCTCCTACGCTACTGCCGTTGCGGTTGACTTCCTTGGTGCTGAGTCTGTTGTTGCTGCTTCTGCTCTTAGAGGAAGGCGCCGCAGCGGCAAGGGCAAGGGAGCCAAGGGTAGCGGAGGTGGCAACAGGGGGGGTGGTGGAGGAGGAGGTGGAGGAGGAGGAGGTGGCGGAGGGAGTGGTGGCGGGAGTGCTGGCGGAAGTGGTGGCGTCGGTGGCGGCGGTGCGAGTGGCGGTGGAGGCGGTGGTGGCGGAGGGGGTGGCGGCGGCAGTGGCGGCGGCGGTGGCGGTCAGGGCGGAGGTGCTGGCGTTGGCCAGAGACAGCAGCAGCAGCAGCAGCGTCCCCGTGAGGCTCTTACGCTGCAGCAGCTTCGTGAGTGGCTTGCTCAGCGTGGGACGTCTGGGGGTAGTGGTCGCTGCCCGTATGTCATTCGCACAGGTGACCGCGCTGGTCAGACATGCGGGAAGTTCCACACTCAGCACCGCTGCTTCTTAACAATGCCTGGCGTGAGGAGATGGGCGAGGAGGTCGAGCGCCCTCGCTGGCATGAGCTGCTTGGGGCTGGTGTAGACATCTTTGCTCTTGACTATGATGCTATCCTTGCTGTCATGTATGCATTGACTGTTAGTACTGAGGGAGACCGTTACTTGTGTGTGCCGCCTGACCCAGGTATAGAGGCTGCTGCCTTAGGTGCGAGCGAGTCTGCTCTCGCAGGTACTGCGCCTGCTGAGGCCTTGCCCACCTTCACACTTGACTCAGGTGCTTCCCGCCATTTCTTTCGTGACAGTACTACACTCACACCACTCACTGCACCTGTTGTAGTCTCTCTGGCTAACCCCTTAGGGGGCCCAGTTCTTGCACGGTCCACCACTGTGCTCCCGTACCTGCCGGTTCCGTCTGGCTCACTGATAGGCCTCCACCTCCCCTCGTTCTCTAAGAACTTGGTGAGCAACGCAGTTCTCCAAGACCAGTGGGTTGACACCTTTACCCCTGGAGGACAGCGTGTGGCGATCTGTACGTGCTCCCGGACCGGCCGCCACCTGGCCACGTTTACCCGTCGGCCAGGGTCGACTCTTTATACACTGACGACTGCGCCTCCTCAGGTAGCTGCTACTGGTCAGGTGCCTGCGTCAGGTCAGGTAGCCTCCCCTTGTTCGTGTTGCTCCCTGTCGCACCAGACTCTTCTCTGGCACCACCATGTGGGTCACCCCTCCTTGCCATGTCTACGTGGCATGCACTGTCGCCTCCTTGTATCTGGTCTCCCCAGGTCTCTACCTCCTCTCCCTCCCTCGCCTGCGCCGCCCTGCCTTCCTTGTGTCAAGGGGCGGCAGCGCGCCGCTCCTCACTCCTCCTCGTTTCCCCCGACAGAGGCTCCCCTGTAGACCTTCCACATGGACGTGTGGGGCCCAGCCCGCGTTCGTGGACAGGGCGGCGCGCGGTACTTTCTGCTGGTTGTCGACGACTACTCGCGTTACACCACGGTTTTCCCCTTGCGCACCAAGGGTGAGGTCCCTGATGTCCTGATCCCTTGGATCCGAGTAGTTCTTCTCCAGCGCCGCGAGCGGTTCCGCCAGGACCTCCCTGTCCAGCGTCTACACTCTGACAGAGGTGGTGAGTTCTCCTCCAACCTCTTGCGGGCCTTTTGTAAGGGGGAGGGCATCCTCCATTCGTTCACGCTTCCGGCCTCACTGCAGCAAAATGGGGTTGCTGAGCGCCGCATTGGCTTGGTCATGGAGATAGCTCGTACCTCCTTCATCCATGCGGCAGCTCCCCATTTTCTGTGGCAGTTTGCGGTCCGGTACGCGGCGCAACAGCTCAACCTCTGACCCCGTGTCTCCTTGCCGGAGACCTCGCCGATAGTGCGTTGGATGGGAGAGGTTGGCGATGCGTCGCGTTTCCGGGTCTGGGGTGCTTGTGCCTTTGTCCGTGATACGTCCGCGGACAAGCTCTCCTCCGGCACCCTGCCCTGTGTCTTCCTCGGCTTCCCCACTGACGCGCCTGGCTGGCAGTTTTACCATTCCACCTCGCGCAATGTTCTGTCCTCCCAGAACGTCACCTTTGACGAGTCGGTTCCTTTCTACCGTCTCTTCCCCTACCTCACTGCCCCTCTCTCTCCCGCCTCTTTTCCTCGCTCCAGGTCCCCCTCCGGTAGATCCCCTCTCTCCTCAGGGTCTTGCTCCTTCAGGTGTGTCTGAGGTAGGCCCACTCCCCTTGGCTGAGCCAGTGGAGGTCACAAGCGACTCAGGTGCTACTGCGGGTGGTGCTGCTTGGGGTGTTGCGTCTGGGGGTGCTGAGCCTGTGCGTGCGGTGCTGAGGGGTGTGGAGCCTGGGGGTGCTGAGCCTAGGGGTGCTGAGCCTGGGGGTGCTAAGCCTAAGAGTGTGGAGCCTAAGGGTGCAGAGCCGGAGGGTGCCATGTTTGGGGGTGTTGATTTTGCTGGTGTTTCTCCAGGTCGCTTTTCACGATGGGGGCCTCTCTCACCACAGCAGCTACGAGAGTGGCTTGCGTGGCGTGCCCGCCTGAGGAGTCGTGCTCCTGCTGCTAGAGGTACTGCTTCTGGAGGTACTAGGGCTGGAGCTACTGGAGCTACTCTTCGTGGAGGCGCTGGTGTTTCTAGTTCTGGAGGTGCTCGTACTGGAGGTACTGGAGCTGCCAACACTGGTGGTGCTGCTAGAGCTGGAGGTGCCGGTTCTAGGGGTGCTACTACTGGAGGCACTGGAGCTGGTGCTGTCGACCCTGGAGTTGGAGACACTGGAGCTGGAGACCCTAGAGCTGGAGGTGCTGGAGCTGGAGGCGCTGGAGCTGGAGAACCTGGAGCTAGAGGTGCTGGAGCTGGAGGCGCTGGTGCTGGAGGCGCTGGAGCTGGAGGCTCAGGCACTAGAGGCGTCGGGGCTG